AGAACATTTGTGCAATTAAAAATATAATTGTTCATTGATAGAAATGTACTATTGATGCAAATTCCCTTAAAATGAAAGGTAGGTCTTATAATTGATTGTTTGGCCATAAAATTATGCAGTGGCCTATGTGTTTAATTATAAGGGAATTTTAAGATATAAGGCAGTACTTGAGCAGTGCTGGGAAAGTCACAAATTATTTAAAATCTTAAGTGAAATTTGTTATTTTCCCTGGTGGCACATCCCTGTGTCTGATGGGCATTTTTCATTTCCAATGTTCTTCTCTATCTTCTAATCAAATAAAATTTATAGAAACAAAAAAAATTAACAGAAAAGGACATTATAACAGGTATTAGAAATATGCTCACAAATTAACAGGAAAACCAGATAGGCTGATGAAGGAAATCTAAAACATAAAAAAGAATTCACAGAATTTCTAGAATGCAAAAGCATAATATCTGAGGCAGATTAAGTACTGCCAAACATCAGTGAACTCTGAGACATCGAAACCATCTACACCGAAGTGCAAGGGGAAGATGGAATAAGTGGAAAGCGCTGGTGGCCTGAAGACAATGTCACGTGATTTAATAAATATGTAACTGGAACGGGAAGTAAACGCAAAATATATTTGGAGAAATAATGTGAAAATGTTTCCAAACGTGATAACCATAAACTCACAGGTCTCCAAAGTTTAATAAACCTCAAACAATCAGGACACAACAACTACACAAAAAGCAAAATTTCTGAAAACCAGTAACAAGAGATGACCTTAAAAGCAGAGAGAAAAGGAAACATTATGTGCAGAACCCTTAGGAATCTCATGAGAGAGAGAGCAAGTCAGAAGAACACAGAAGGACAGCTTTCTTTTCTTGGAAACAAAGTTAAGCAAACGCTGTCAAATTACCATTCTCTATCCAGAAAAAAGGTTATTAAGAGACTGAAGACAATTTCAGACAAAGAGAAACTAAGAGAATTCCCCACTAGTTAGCCTAAGCTGTAAGAAATGTTAAAAGATTCTTACAGATAGAGAAAATGATAACAAAATAGTGGCTATACCCCAAAAGAGGGCTAATGTGTGATTATAAAATAATTTCCTTCTCGTTTAAAAAATTTTAAACAATAACTGAATTTTTAAAACATGATAGTAGAAATATGTTGTGGGGCATATAAGATACATAAAAGTAAATTACACGACAACAGTAGAACAAATTTGATGAAGAACAAAAGAAACTGTATAGTCAAATTGCATCATACACTAGGGTATATGACACTGAATGGCCCGCTGTGACTAAGATGCGTAATATAGACACAAAACAGTCACTTGTAGATGATAAAATACAGTTCGATGGGCCGGGGATTTAGCTCAGTGGTTTGGTGGCCTGCCTTGCAAGTGCAAGGACCCAAGTTCAATCCCTGGTACCAAAAAAAATACAGTTCGAAAAGTAGTCCCTTCATCCAGAAGGGCAGAAAAAGGGGTTCCTCAGAATTAGATGCGACAAAGAGAAAACACGAATCAAGATGAGGCCCGGAAACTTCTATCAATAATAGATTAAATTTGAAATAAAACACACACAAAGGACACACAGGAGGAGTACCACTTTATTGTTCTACTTGTCTAAAAGTCTAGCACAGGCAAAATTAATAAAACAGATCAGTGATTGCCAGTAGCCTAGGTTGTTAGCCACCAAGAGACATGAGAGATCTTTTTAGGGTATGGAAATATTATGTATGTTCTGACTTAGGTGGTAGTTACACGGGTGTGAATACTGAGTACTTGGATGGATGTTTTAGTCTACATATGTCATACTTTAGTAAAGTCATTTTAAATGTTTTTTTAAAGACCTTTAGGTTACAAAACAGAGGTTTGAACTGCAGAGCTCTGACAATTCCTTTTGTTCTTACTGACTTACTATGCAACTTCTTGTCAGACCTGAAAACTGAGGTTCCATCTCTTATCAAATAACGTAGTGAATAACTTTCTGCTACCCGATGCTGTGACTTAAAAACAAAGGTGCTCAAGGTTTAGAAGAAAATATGTAAAATCTAAAAATTAACTTACCAAAAACTGCCTAAAACCTGTACAATGACATCATGAACAGTATAAGACAAATAACTGACAAGAGGTGTCATGCTCCTAAATGAGAAACCCATATGGTGAAGTGGTACCCTCAAGGTGAGGTGGACATAAACACAGTGCCAGCCAAACTCCCACTGAGAGTTCCGGGAGAAAAGTCAGTGGCTTAGAAAATCAACTTGAAATTTCATGCAAAAGACGAAAAGGGCAAGATAAGCCAAACAATTTTGAAAAGCCAAATAAGAGTGTATCTTGCCTACTACATTGCAACACATATTAGACCTAGGAATCAAAAACAGTCTGATAATAATGAAAGAACAGGCAAATAAAATGATGGTCTTAAAACAGAAACACATATACATGGAAATTTATCATATCGTGCTATGTTGTATTCAAATGAGTAATATTAAATGATATTGAAGTAACTGATCACTAATTTGTTGAAATAATTGACTTAGCCCTCACCTTCCATTAGACAATCAAATAAATTCCAACCAAATTAAAGGTTTAGACCAAAACAAAATCATGAACTCACTGAAAGAAAATGTTACGAACCATATGTGTAATACTAAAGAGATTTTTTAAAAGATGGCGGGAAGCTCAGAAACTATTAACAGAAAGACTAGACATATACATGGGTGTGTGTAACTAGAGAAGTTTAGAACCTGTGCAACAGGTTTAAAAACAGAAAACAACTCTTTTAAAACATTAAGAAGCAAAGAATAAACTGATAGTTAAAATTTTAAAACTTTACAACAAATTCAAGATTAATGTAATTAACATATAAAGAGATCTTGTAAATGAAATGACATGACACTCCAATGTATTCCTAACAAGTTAAAATATAAATATCCTTTTATTTTGTGATGCAATTTATAGAAACATGCCTAACGATAAAATTTTCTTAGATCCCCAACAGTTTTTATTTCAATAGTCCCTGTAGTAGGCAGAAAGAAAGAAAAAAGAAGGAAAGAAAGACCCCAAGTGTACTCAAAAGAGGATTAAAGTATGATCTATCAAGGCAGGGTTTTCTACATAGCTATTAAGGATGAAGGGGCTCTAAAGTAATGACACAGTGAAGTATTATACTTCATTTTATATGCTGGGCTGTCAGTTTTAGTGAAATATTTTTAATTAAGAAAGAGTAGAAGCCTTTTACCTAAGTTAACAGAAAAGAAAAAGGTTAAAAGAGAAGGCACCTTAAATATTTCATTTAAATTTGAAAAATGCAAATATTCATTCTCCAGTCTTTTGATACCGAACCAAGGACTTTAATTATGGGTTCCCTTGTTCTTCGTAGAAAGAAAAAAATCCCAATTCTAAAATATAGCTTCAGATTTCTCATTTGAGTTTCTTTAAGAGGAATGGGGAATAAAAATTTGAGCAAAGCAATCCGGATAACACAGTACTTAGATTTTTATTTTCCCCCAATCTTTTGCAATTGTCTTGCCCACTCCTCATTGGATGCAGTTTTTTCAAGCATCCAGCCCTTAGAAAACATGTTCGAAGCACTGAGTTTAGTTTATGCAGGTAATTCCTGTCACACATTTCGGTTTATATAATTAAAATGCAACCTCACTGTGACAACTACTATGATAAAAGTTCTGGAACTAAGATTAACTCTTGACAAATACAAAGCTGAATAACCTGAAAAATGACATTCAAGTCTATTGATCAATATTTGATGAGCTTTTCAATGAAATTAGCATGAGTGAGTTTAACCCAGTATCACTAACTCTGTATCGATGGACATTTTAAGTCTCCAGACCTGCACTGCCCAGGGTGGTGGCCACTGGCTGCCTATGGCTATGGGACACCTGAGACGTGGATGAAAATATAACACATACACCACACCCAAGACTTCGCATAAACAAGAGAATGCAAAATACTATGTTAATAATTTCTATATTGAGAATGCATTTAAATAAGATTTTTTAAATACTGGATTAAATTAAGCATGGCATTAAAATTAATTTCACTCATTTCTTTTACAAAAAGAAGTGGCTGTTAGCTTATTTAAATGGCAAATGTTGCCTTCATTCTCTTCCCATTGGGTAGCCCTGTGTGGACCTGAAGACATCCTGCACTAACAGTGCTGTCTTCTGTGAGGTTCTGCCCAAAGCAGTAGGTCAAACGCTCTTTTGTATCATTGCTACCTGAGTTAAAGGCATATTGGAGCACCAGTTTATAGCTTCCCTTAAGCAGACTTGTGACTCTGTGTCAGGGATCTGTGCACTGATGCCCGCTTTGGTATGGCCTATGAGCTAAAACAATTAATCTTATTTTTAAATAGTTGGAAAAAATAAAAAGATTGACATTTTTTGATTTGCAAACATTACCTTAAATTCACATTTCAGTGCCTATCAATAAAGTTTTATTGGCACACAGACACTCGGTTTGTGTGATATCTAGGACTGCTTGGTGCTAGCAAACCATAGTTGATTGGCAAGAAAAAGAGCCGACAGCACCTGCTGAATCTCCAAAATTTACTGCCAGGCCATTGGCCGAGAGCTGGCTGGCCTGCTCTTTCATCCCTTATGGCTCCTGGACAGAATTAGCTGCCACCTGCATCTATAGGACCTGGGAAATCCATGAAAAGTGAAAGTTTGTGTCTCCATTCTCCCTTGTCCAAGAGGCTAGTTTAGATTTCAAACTTCTTAACTTGCTTTTGCTATATATTATTGACTCAAAAAAGTGCCCAGAACCCCAGCTACTGGGACAGCTTCTATGTAGATGGCATCCCAGAAATGCCCAGGGATCTGTCGGTATCCAAAGGTCCATGTGTGCGTGGCTTTTGTGTTCCACCCCTGAGAGCCCTGATCAGCCACGGAGTTCTGGACCGCCTTGCCCTGCCGGTGTCTAGCACGGGGGATGATTTCGTGCATTCTCCTTGGCAGGGCTGTTCAGTCCCTGGTTCTCTGGTGCCTACCTCCGTGGAGCCCGTGAATGCAATCTTGTCTATGCCAATGTGAGAAGCAATCGCTGCACCAGCTGTCGGCCCATATCCTGGCAGAATATTGATCACTCCAGGTGGAAAGCCAGCCTAAAAGAAAAAAAAAAATGCAGAATAGGGGGAGCTGTGTCTCTCCAATAGTGACACGCCCCGTCAGATGGGCAGCACAGACGGCTCAAAGGGAAAGGGCCCCGAGGTCACCGTCCTACCTCCTTGATCAGGGCTCCCATGTAGAGCGCGCTGAGAGGCGTCTGCTCCGCCGGCTTAATCACCACCGTGTTGCCGCAGCACAGAGCCGGCGCGATCTTCCAGGCGAACATCAGCAAGGGAAAGTTCCACTGAAAAGGAAAACTCGGGGTCCACAGATGGGAAAAGGCTCCTGCTCTGCTTTCTTTTTAAGCTGTGATTTCTCAGATTCGTCCTCAACATAAATCTCGCTGACCACAAAGTGTAGATGTTTAGGTTTCTAATTACTGCATTAAAAATATAATGGCATTGACTTTGAAAAAAAAAAATCCCTTCCTTTCTCTGTGTATAACAAGTTCCTTTAGTCCAGCAACCCACATAATGGAACCTCATGATGGAAAGGGAAGTTTTGTTTTTCCTTTGTATTATCTTGATTTTTTTCATTACTGTTATTTTCTACTATTTTTCCAATAAGTTCTTGTGTGTGAAATTTTTTTCTTGAGTTTGGGCTTTTTACAGCAGTGTTTCGTTTTTTGTTTTTGTTTTTTCCTGTTTGGTGTGAAAGCTGTTCAACTGTGGGAGAATTAAAAAAGAAAATTCTAGCTGTGCGTTATACTTATTTCAGTGTGTACTTCAAGGTACTGTGTGCCACCTTTTCTCACCCATACAGCCACAAAGTATACATTATTCCAAAAACTACATATCTGCAGATGAGTATGCACAATTTTTAATGTCTCCTTCCTGCTGCAAAATAAGCTAATGAAACTACAATATATGTATGTGAGTCTATGAATTTAGGGCCTAAAATGGTTTAAACTGACTTGAGAGGATACTGAGCTTGTGCTCTCATGAGCTCCGGCATGAGGCCCATCACTATCAGGTGTCACCGATGATTTCATAGAAGGAAAGCAGCCATCCTGGTCCCCCCAGAACAGGGTTTCAGCCTGACGCATCTCAGCTGCTAGCCCCAAAGCATTCCCACTGACTCTGGCAAGCCTGCAAAAATATACAAGTGTCTCGCCTTCACCAAACACCCAATTTCTTTTCCCTTTGGTTGTTTATAAACTTGGGAGTCCTCCGTGATGTTTTAATTCCATCTGCAGTGTGTAAATCCTGGAGTGTGGTCATTGAGCCAGAGCTGGCTGACAAGCAGCCTTCATCCTGTCAGAAAAGCAAGTCTGGGTCCCCTACGAGGTGACAGATCTTACCCTGGGAAGCTCCAAGCGGGTTCCCCTGGGGTATGGAGGAGAAAAACTCCACCAACCAAACTTCTCATTTCCCTTTCCAATCTCTAATAAATTTCACAGTAGCCTGGGGCTCATTAATCATGTGAATAAAAATGAGTAAATTTCCCAAATCTTCAGTTCCCAAGCCAAAGAGTTTCTCCAGTTATTCTCCTGTATTTCCTTATCTCTACTGTAAGAGTTTAATTTGAGCATCTCTTGAAATCTCCACCGGAACTATTAGCTCGCACTGCTAGCAGATTTTCTGATGTATTACATTGTGCCAAGGGTGTGTATGAGGAGAGAGCAAAGGACAGTGTCTAATGTTCCAATCCAAACACTAAGCACAACATCTATTTCCCTTTACAAGGCCGACAACAGCCCGGCATGGTTTCAATTATAACAATGACGTTCATTGTACTGCTGTGTCTTCTGCAGCGTCTTCTATCAAGAATCTTTTGACAAGAAACAGTGGGAAAGAGTTGGAGAAAAAGGCCATATGAAATAATATGACTGGAAAGATGCTGAGCCACAGTTCTAAAAAGTAATGGAGCAAATATAACAAAGCATGGGCTTTCCATAAGCAGAAGAGCCGTCCATAATCAAGGGTAAGTTATTAATACGCTGTGCTCTGCTCGGCTTATTTGAACCAGGAGAATTCCACAACCGGAGAACTCAACTCCTGGTAACGGAGCTGCAACCCTGTCAACCTGTTCAAATAAGCACTTATAGGGTGGCTGTTGAAGATATGTCAACAACACGAGCTCCATTTTCTTCTCCTTAGTAATGGAAAACACACACACCCTGGACCCTGTTCACTGTCTTCGTCAGGAGAACCGAGTCAAAGGCAAACAAACTCAAGGCCCATGACATTCACTCACCGGGATGATCTGTCCGCACACCCCAATGGGCTCGTGTCTTGTGAAGGTGAAGTAGTCCCCATCTGAAAGAAAAGGTCAGTTTAGATTAGAAGGCAGGGGAAAAGAAATGCAGAGAGAGAACTTCGGTGGCAGCAAAACAGAAAAATTAAAAATATAAAAATCCCCATCAGCCATGTACAGAAGCTGGTAGGAAAACTGTCACCTGGTCTTGAGGTACCACTGGATGGAAGTCCCACACCCCCAGAGTCTGAGGAGAGGACCTCAAGCAGAAAATGAATGACAAGTCTGTGATACTAGAAGAAGGGGGAGTATTAAAAATGGAATTATATGCTAAATGTTAAAATGACATAGTAGGATAGTTACCTGATGTAAAAACTGAAGTACCTCAACCTTTTAAATAGCTTTCTAAGTATTATTTTTTAAGAAGTAAAGAAAATGCTATTGGGTAGATTTTAAATGCTGGTTGACTGGGAGAAAAGAGGAGTGAAAATATGATACATTCCCTAACTCAAACTAGCTATGCAAACAAACTTTCTAGGGACTGGTGTAACCTAGGCAGGGCTAGGGTTACTTAAAGAAGGCAAAAACCACTTCAGAGATGGTTGAAGTACACTGAGAGGTGAGCAAGATCTGTACCTTGGGCTAAAAAGAAGAGAGCTTGAGAGAAAACAAATAACCTATTTTCTTCTAGATGCAATAGGCAATTGGAGAAACCAGCCAGGAAGTCCAAGACAAATTACTTTGGTTTTGTCTGGAGTTATTTTTAAAAGGCTAAATGAGCCAACCAATTTAATTTTTAGCATATGGCTTTTCATTTCTAGAACTGGGCACAGTCTTTGCTTTTTCTTCGGGGACTTATCTAGAGTTGTTTTTTTCCTCTCAAAAGCAGCCTCCCAAGGGGTGGGGATGTAGCTCAATATTCAGCACTTGCTTCCCATGCAGGAAGCCCTGGGTTTGATCCCCAGCACCACCACCAAATAAAGAAAACAAAAAAGCAGCCCCCAAGTAAAGTGTGTGGGCTGGGAGAGAGAAATGGAAGTGATACCAACTAGATCATTTAACCATTGTTTCTGAGCACACCTCAATCACAAATATTTACCACCGAGAGTTGTTTTAGCTGAATTCAGAGTTATACAACTTTAAGTCACTCAAGTCCTTTCTCTCTCCCCTCTAGACCTCTGCTATCCAGTCCTCTTGTCAAAGTTAACTGCTGACTGTTGCCAGTGCATCTTTGGAAAGAACTTTTATTCACATACAAGTATATGTCTCAATCTTTTATCAAATGAGTTTACGTTATTTAGTCTTTCATATTTTATTCCCCCACTTTTTCCATAGGAGTGAACACATCTTTTGCATGCCTGCATGCTACCCCACTGGCTCAGCAAGTCATGGTATTATAGTGAACTCCCCGAGGGTCAGTGAGGCTGCTCTCCATGGGAGCTATTTATAAATAACACTGTAAAGGCTATTAAGTTATATAGCCCTGGGTATTCATGCAATTTCCTGATCCAAGTGTATGTGCATTTCACATTTCCATTAATCTTTGCCAAATCACGGTCCTGATAGTTGCACAATTCATAATTCTAACAACATGCTATACTTCTACTCTTTAACACTAGGGACTTTCAGACATTTTGAGTCCAGCTTAGCTGGCAGCTAGGAGGTGGCAACTTGTTTTGATACAAGAAGGTGGGCAACTTTCATGTTTACTAGCTATTTTCAATTCTTCCTCAGAGTTATATCTTTGTCCAGTTTTCCTTTGTTTGGCATCTCTTTCATCATTTGGAGAACTCAATGGATCTTAAGGAGATTTGATTTCCTTCATATTATTGCACAGGTTTCCTGCAATAATCTGCTCCTTATCTCTTAACTTTATTTTATGCATAGGACTTTTAGATGGAAGAAATGAGGAAGGAAGAGGGCTCAGCAATAGTAGCAAACTGTTTCAGAATATTTCCATACTACCAAGCGCAGTTGAGATGTGGCTACTTCTGTAGGAAGACATAAGAAGTCCTGGTTGTGTTTTTCAATCAAATTAACTGCATCAGCTCTGTAGGCAGACAACTCCCACATCTTCAGAGCGCTGATCATTGCTTACAATAGTGCAACTTACCAGCCGCCTTTGCTTTGCCATACTCTGGTTTGTTTTTGTTTTTGTTTTGCTGTTGTTGTTGCTGTTGTTTTGGTGCTGGTGATCAAACTCAGGTCCTTGTGCTTGTGAGGCAGGGGGCAGAACGACTGGGCTAAATCCCCAGCCCCACTTTGCCAAACTCTAGAAAGGGTTTTCATGAAGAGCAAGGGCACCCACCAATATGCTAACAAGCTTCACTGGCGAGGAAACTCCCACAATTCTGCTTTGTAACGAGGCTCTGGGGATGCCTTGAGGGAAAAGTTCATAGAATCAGAGTATAATGCTGAGACAGAGTGCAAATGGGCTGAGAAAAAAATAGGGGAAGAGAAGTGGAGAAGAGAACAGGTGTGTGTTTCAGCAGAACCTGGAAGAGCCTGGAGTGGCCCAGAGGAAATTCAAAGGAATTTGCCCAGGCGGCATCTCCCCCTCCATATGCTAAATGCTCGGGACCTTAGTTGTATCGCTTACATAATATCAAAAGTTGCCGGAGAAATGAAAGCAAGGAGAAAAAAATGTAAGCAAAATTTTTAAAAGCTGGCTTCACGAGGACCTGAACCCAACTCCATAATTGTGTCCTGTAAAATTGTTTGGAGGAATAAAATTTCCTGGATAACCCACTCGGATTTGACAAACAGTTGATTAAAGGTTGGCACAAGAAAGGGCATGAATTTTCCAGCCCCACAGTTCCTCTATAGGGTAAATCAAGAAATAAAGGTTAGTTTGGTGTTTGAACTCTTCTGAAAGGTGCACTACTGAAAGGAATATAAGGCCCTCAGCTTGATGGCCCCTGTCATAGTCCCATGTGGACAGTGAGTGGTCACACCCTGGATGCCCAGCTGTGTCCTCTACAGCCCCTCAGATAGGACTCACAGCACCGGAGGTTCTTCCCTGTGACAACTCCCACTGCATCACCCCGAGGCCAGTCCCTCAAGAGGCCCCGAGATGCCTCTGGCCATGTCTAAGTAACAGCTGCTTCATCCTCACTTAATAATTTCTGTGAAATGCACCCAACTTTCAAAAACATGCATACAGCTACATGTTAGCCTCACTTTAAGGAAAACCTATAAAATAATAGGTTTCTGGGGCTAGTGATATTTTTTCTAATAGTAATTAAGTAAAAGGTGTCCCTGGTCTGTTGCATGGGATCGCCCACCACGCTGTCTCTGCTGCAGCGCAGGGGACACAGGCCATCCTGTTTGGGGGTCAGCAGGATGTCCCTCCAGGCTCCCAAAGGGTGGATCCAGAGTAACTGTGGGGTAGTGGGGAGTCACTTGGTCCTTGGCTTCCCAGTTGCGTGACCCATTTTTACTCATTTGGTGTTTGCCTCTCTGGTAAGTGTTCATCTTCCTGAAAGAAATTGGTGGTCTAGGAGAATCTGATCACTGTTATTAATACTTTTTAAATGGTAACATAAGAACAACACTACATGTTTCAATAGGACTCTATAAAATATTTTCATGTCTTCATCTTTCTTTTATATTCAAAGAAACCATTGCAAATGCAAGGACCCAAGTTCGATCCCTGGTACCTCCCCAAAAAAACAAAAACAAAGAAACCATAAAGTAGCCCTCATTATTAATATTTTTAAGTGGACAGAATATGCCAGAGAGGTTAGTCCAAAAGGCTATACCTATGGAGGTTGTGACTCCGTACTTGAACTTGGGACATCAGACTTCAGGTTCTTTACCCACAGAAACATACTAAGACCTTTCAGTGAGGAAGACATTGGATTTAGGAACATACACCTAGAATTAGAGTGTAATGCCAAGGAGTACAAATGGGGTAAAAGCAAACAAACAAAAAGTTTAACAACAACCCTTTTGTGAGGAAGGGTGAGAGGATTCCTAACAGGTTTGGACAGAGTGAGCTCACACAAAATCTGGTATCAAGTTATAAAGAGAATCTCGTGGAGCAACTTCCCCTAGAACACGGGAGCCCAGGGCTGAGCACTTCTCTCCCTTTCCATTATGCAGAGTCTACTTGGCCAATTCTCTCTTTCTGCATACCTAAGATGGCACGTGATAATGTGTATCATGAGTCTTCTTGGCCTAGAAGAAAAAATTGCAGTCCATTTTTTCATATTTTATGCTAATAATGCTCTCAATATATGGCATGATAACTTCCAAAGTCATTGCCTTCATTTCTCTAGCTTTGTGCTGTAAGTTTAAAAGCGTTATAGAAAACCAGTCTCCACCCTAACTCAAATACTCGGTTCTAGGCTATAACAACTTCAGGTCTTCTCATCTGAACATGAGGACTCACAGAGAGAATGTAGGCTCAGCAAGAGAAAAATCACTTTTGATGAGGATGCCAGAAAAATGATCTACACTTCATATTCTGAGTCAATAGTTTAGAATATAAATGTGGTGGAAGAAAATAACTAAAACAGAGATGAATACCAAAGCAGAAAAGACTGAACCACACGTGGAAGAGTTTTTTCTCTTTCACTTAAGAAAGTCATTCTAGTGTAGATCTAAAATGTCCCCCCAGAGTTTCATGCTCAGAAATGGGCCCTGGAGGGAGAAGTTTTCTGGGGCTGATAGCTGGAAGGGTGTATTCTTGTCTCTGCTCATCCCTTCCCTTTCCATCCCTGCTGCAATGGGATGAGAAACTCTGCTCCGCTATGGCCACTTCTGCCTTGGAGCCAGCTAACCATGGACTGAGGCCTCTGAAATCATAAGCCAAAACAAACCTCTCCTCCTTTAAGTTGCAGGTGTCAGGTAACTTGTCCCAGCAATGGAGAAGTGACTAATACAACAACAAAACACTTAAAGAGTAAAAGGAATTGCTCATTAAAGGGATTCATATTAAGACACAGCCAGAGACAACTTTTCTGGTGTATTTTTATACCTTTGTGTTGTCAAGGACCAAAGAATAGTTTTCACCTCGTGAAGAATATAAAAATCTTACCATGGAATCCTTCCTTGTACT